TCTGGACTCTGGATTCTGTTCTGAATTCTGGATTCTGTTCTGAACTCTGAACTCTGTCCAGAATTCTGGATTCTGTTCTGAACTCTGGATTCTGTTCTGAATTCTGGACTCTGTTCTGAACTCTGGACACTGGATTCTGTTCTTAACTCTGGACTCTGTTCTGGACTCTGGATTCTGTTTTTAACTCTGGATTCTGTTCTGAACTCTGAACTCTGGACTCTGGACTCTGTTCTGAACTCTGGATTCTGCTCTGAACTCTGGATTCTGTTCTGAACTCTGAACTCTGGACTCTGTTCTGAACTCTGGACACTGGATTCTGTTCTGAACTCTGGATTCTGTTCTGAACTCTGGATTCTGTTCTGAACTCTGGATTCTGTTCCTAACTCTGGACTCTGTTCTGAACTCTGAACTCTGGATTCTGTTCTGAACTCTGGATTCCTTTCTGAACTCTGGACTCTGTTCCAAACTCTGTACTCTGGATTCTGTTCTGAACTCTGGATTCTGTTTTGAACTCTGGACTCTGTTCTGAACTCTGGACTCTGTTCCAAACTCTGGACTCTGGATTCTGTTCTGAATTCTGGATTCTGTTTTGAACTCTGGACTCTATTCTGAACTCTGGACTCTGTTCCAAACTCTGGACTCTGGATTCTGTTCTGAATTCTGGATTCTGTTCTGAACTCTGAACTCTGAACTCTGTCCAGAATTCTGGACTCTGTTCTGAATTCTGGCTTCTGTTCTGAACTCTGGATTCTGTTCTGAATTCTGGACTCTGTTCTGAACTCTGGACACTGGATTCTGTTCTTAACTCTGGACTCTGTTCTGGACTCTGGATTCTGTTTTTAACTCTGGATTCTGTTCTGAACTCTGAACTCTGGACTCTGGACTCTGTTCTGAACTCTGGATTCTGCTCTGAACTCTGGATTCTGTTCTGAACTCTGAACTCTGGACTCTGTTCTGAACTCTGGATTCTGTTCTGAACTCTGAACTCTGAGTGACTCACATGTTCGAGGAAACAGCAGCCGATCTCACTTAGGTGCGGCTGCTCCTTGTTGAACTTCTTCTCCAGTCCCTTCAGGAACTTCCTCTGGAACCGGTAGATCTCCTCAATGTTTCCGAAGATGGTGCGAAGCTGCTCCTCAGTGAACATGTCCGTCCTCTTACGGCACTGTTTGATGTAGCCCTGATGTAGAGAGACAGGATCAAAACCTGCAGCTGTGAGACTGTGAGACTGTGAGACTGTGAGACTCTCTGAGACTCTGTGAGACTCTGAGAGTCTGTGAGACTCTGTGAGACTCTGAGAGACGCTGAGACTCTGTGAGACTCCAAGAGACTCTGAGAGTCTGTGAGACTCTGAGACTCTGTAAGACTCTGAGAGTCTGTGAGACTCTGTGAGACTCTGAGAGACTCTGAGACTCTGTGAGACTCTGAGAGACTCTGAGACACTGTGAGACTCTGAGAGATACTCTGTGAGACTCCAAGAGACTCTGAGAGTCTGTGAGACTCTGAGACTCTGTAAGACTCTGAGAGTCTGTGAGACTCTGAGACTCTGTAAGACTCTGAGAGTCTGTGAGACTATGTGAGACTCTGAGACTCTGTGAGACTCTGAGAAGACTCTGAGAGACTCTGTGAGACTCTGTGAAACTCTGAGAGACTCGAGACTCTGAGACTCTCTGAGACTCTGAGAGACTTTGACACTCTGTGAGACTCTGAGACTCTATGAGACTCTGAGAGACTCTGAGACTCTGTGAGACTCCGAGAGACTCTGAGACTATGTGAGACTCTGAGACTCTGTGAGACTCTGAGACTCTGAGAGACTCTGAGAGACTCTGAGACTCTGAGAGACTCTGAGAGACTCTGAGACTCTGAGAGACTCTGAGAGACTCTGAGACTCTGAGAGACTCTGAGAGACTCTGAGACTCTGAGAGACTCTGAGAGACTCTGAGACTCTGAGAGACTCTGAGAGACTCTGAGACTCTGAGAGACTCTGAGAGACTCTGAGACTCTGAGAGACTCTGAGAGACTCTGAGACTCTGAGAGACTCTGAGAGACTCTGAGACTCTGAGAGACTCTGAGAGACTCTGAGACTCTGAGAGACTCTGAGAGACTCTGAGACTCTGAGAGACTCTGAGAGACTCTGAGACTCTGAGAGACTCTGAGAGACTCTGAGACTCTGAGAGACTCTGAGAGACTCTGAGACTCTGAGAGACTCTGAGAGACTCTGAGACTCTGAGAGACTCTGAGAGACTCTGAGACTCTGAGAGACTCTGAGAGACTCTGAGACTCTGAGAGACTCTGAGAGACTCTGAGACTCTGAGAGACTCTGAGAGACTCTGAGACTCTGTGAGACTCTGTGAGACTCTGTGAGACTCTGTGTGACTCTGTGAGACTCTGAGACTCTGTGAGACTCTGAGACTCTGAGAGACTCTGTGAGACTCTGTGAGACTATGTGAGACTCTGAGACTCTGTGAGACTCTGTGAGACTCTGAGAGTCTGTGAGACTCTGTGAGACTCTGAGACTCTGTAAGACTCTGAGAGTCTGTGAGACTATGTGAGACTCTGAGAGACTCTGAGACTCTGTGAGACTCCGAGAGACTCTGAGACTGTGAGACTCTGTGAGACTCTGAGAGACTCTGAGACTTTGAGACTCTGAGACTCTGTGAGACTCTGTGAGACTCTGTGAGACTCTGAGACTCTGAGAGACTCTGAGACTCTGAGAGACTCTGTGAGACTCTGTGAGGCTCTGAGAGACTCTGAGAGACTCTGAGACTCTGAGAGACTCTGAGAGACTCTGTGAGACTCTGTGAGACTCTGAGAGACTCTGAGAGACTCTGAGACTCTGTGAGACTCTGAGACTCTGAGAGACTCTGTGAGACTCTGTGAGACTCTGAGACTCTGAGAGACTCTGAGAGACTCTGAGAGACTGTGAGACTCTGAGAGACTCTGAGAGACTCTGAGAGACTGTGAGACTCTGTGAGACTCTAAGACTCTGAGACTCTGTGAGACTCCAAGAGACTCTGAGAGTCTGTGAGACTCTGTGAGACACTGTGAGACTCTGAGAGACTCTGAGACTCTGTGAGACTATGTGAGACTCTGAGACTCTGAGACTCTGTGAGACTCTGAGAGTCTGTGAGACTATGTGAGACTATGTGAGACTCTGAGACTCTGTGAGACTCTGGCAGTCTGAAGAGAGTTTCCCATGGTAAAGGAATGTGTTTACTGGAGTTGCTGTATGACAGTGATCATGTGATCATGTGATCATGTGATCCCGACCTCACAGATGTCCTTCAGGTGCTTGATGTAGTCTCTCTCTGTGCTCATGATCTCATTGATGACGTTGGTCCTCATCTGCTCTTTACAGGGTAAACCGGGTCCCAGTAACAGGCCCAGAGTCGCCTTGTCCTCCTCCCCAGACTGCGCCTCCTCCAGGTGGGCCAGGTACTCCTCCATCGGCTCGTCCTGGTTCACACGCAACTGAGGACACAGGTGAGAGTTAGACATGGTCTCCTACACAGACATTTGATTAACCTCGTAGCTCTGATGCTAGCACATTATAGAAATACTGGAACCAGGTCGAACATGTCATAAATCACAGTTCGTCTCACCCGCACGAAGCTGGCAGGAAACCAGCCCTCGCTGTCCATGATGCGACCCCACCACCACTCCTTGTTTGTGGCGTCCACTACTTCGATGACATCACCGGCCTTGAAGCCGAGCTCCTGGTCGTCCATGGTGACATGGTCCCAGAGCGCCTCGGCGTACACCACGCTCCCATCACTGATCAGCTGCACAGGAGGACACAGGAGGACACAGGTCAGGAGTCTGTTGACTTCTGGTCTCAGGACCTGACACAAGCTGAGCTGTGATGTCATGACTGCAGAGGTACTGTTAGTCACGCAGTGAAGGTCAAAGGTCAACTATCAGCCACTAAATGGCTCAGGATGAACTTCACTGTTGTAACACGACCTTTAAGTTCAACCATTTCCCTTCTGATAAATTATGACCTCAACAGGTGAGACTGGAGGCTCAGGTGCAGCTCTGACGTCTGTCATGTGACATGTGTCATGTGACCTAGAGGCTGAAACACGACGTGATGAACAACTTTCAGTTCAGGTGCAGACTTTAAACTCTACCGGTGGTTTAATACCAATAATAATAAAAACAATAATAATAATAATGATAATAATAATAACAATAACAATAACAATAACAATAACAATAACAATAACAACAACAACAATAATAATAATAATAATAATAATGATAATAATAATAATAATAACAATAACAATAACAATAACAATAACAACAATAATAATAATAATAATAATAATAGGTGCCTTTCAAGGACTCTTTACAGCCACAGTAAAAGATAAAGAGCGAGCACAAGGTATAAAATACAGAATAAATTAGAATAAATGTCACTGCATAAAAATAAATATGATTTAATGCTATATCACAGCAGACATGCCAGACAGTTATTATTGCCGTTTAAATTTGAATTATCACTTTAACCGTGGTTAATCACTGTGATTAATCTGACTCATGTCATGTTCTGCACGTCATCAGACAGTTACAGTCTCCAGACACACAGCAACAACGTGGGTTTGTAGTGTGTCAGTCAAAACATGGACAAGACAGTGACTGTTGCTCCGCAGATTTCTCAGCCATTAAAACCTTTTTAGATGGTTAGTGGATATAAGAGGGTTTTTAAAAGTGTTAATATCTTATTATTTTATGTTTAAATACAAACATTCACCTGGTGAAATGATTTCAGGTTGTTTTATTACTTTTTTAACATTTCAGCACATTTTAACACCACTGTGATAACACTGATAACCATGATCATTTCTGTCACTATAATCATATCAAATGTTTCATCTCCAGTTGTTTCACAGTCATTATAAAAACATTGATTATAGCTGCTTTCAAAATCCCACAAAACGACCTCCTCTCTTGACTTGAATCTGTCGTCCCAACGAGAGAAAGAGAAACAGCTGACTCCATTAAAGCTCCATTAAAGCAAACAGCTGAAGTGTTCAATAATCAGGAGACAACGTGTTAGCCTGTTAGCCTGTTAGCCTGTCAACACCGGTGCATTGACAGAATCAGTATTATATATGGCTCTGGATCACAGAGGTGTGTTCAGGTATGATGTGGTTTCAGCACATACATCACTGCAGCACCATCATGACATCTCAACTGACCGCAGACCGAGCACAGACCGATACCGACACTCAGGTCTACAGACCAGCAGGATCTGGTGTTACTGATGAAGACACTGCAGTGGTCATATTTCACACCGTCTCGTACACAACCCCCAGTTTCACTGCGTCATCACAGCCTCAGGCTCCACACAGGCCATCCACTACGCTGCTCAGTCCTGCAGAGGGAAGCAGATCTTCTGGACCCCCCCCCCACCCGCAGGAGCGTCTCTGTCAGGGACAGAGGACACGGTCTGGACGTCTTTCACACCACCTCACAGTCGTTTCATTCCTCTCTACGTGATCTGGCTCTCAGCTCCACTCATTCATCATGGCGACGAAGAAAACAGATGATGTGGCTGTTGCTAAGCAACACACCCACACCATCTTGCCTGTGTGCTGCCTTTCTCTCCAGATCCCTTTTGGCTCTATGACACCACGATATCCTGTCATCAAAGGTTATGATAGTAAACTGTACATCACCTGAGCGTCAGGACAGTGGTCACTGCCCCCCCCCAATACTATTTAATGTTTAATATTTTCAAGATTTAATGTAAATCTATGATGAAAATGTTCTCTTGCCTCTTCAGGCCTCTAACTGATTAAAGTGAAAACAACCTGAGGAGGAAAAACAACCAGCTGTGCTGACAGTCCCACATGGACGTCATTAACCACAGACTGACATCAGCTGCTTCATTTCAAGCCTTTGACATGTAAATTCAGCTGGTGCATTCAAGTGACGCTCTGAAGAAGCTCTTTGTAACTGAATAAAGAGGGGACAGTTTAAGACGACGTGTCCCAGTGTGAGACAGAAAATTGGTGGGTGGGGGTGAAGAACATGAAGCACCTGACCTGCAGTAAGTGACTCATTAACATCAGGAGAACAAAGAGAAACACCAGCAAATGCAGTTTCCTACAGACGCAGAGGAACATGAACGTCCCACATTTCAGCCACCTAATGAATCTAAAGTCAATATTCACCTTCATTTCACCTGTTTCTTAATGAGCTCTACAATTTATTTCACCATCCAGCCTGAAGATTTTTTTTCCACTTAATTTTTTCTCTGAGATTTTAAATGAATCATTTAAGTTTTTAAGTTGTTAATAGAGAAACAATAACACCTTTAACAACTTAAACTGTGAACAACTCTCGCTCTTGGAGAACAGACAACTTTAAGAGAACTGCATAATAGAATTCTTTTAAATATTTTTTTAGTGGATTTTAATGTGACAGCTTCTTGTTTCACCTGCAGGACTACAGCCTCATACCTGTGAGTATACTGATGTTACAGGTATGAGAGCTGGAGGAGGCGTTCGACAGAGAAGAGAGGGAAAGACGAGCTGCTCAGCTTCTCTGTTAAAGTGGAACACAGAACATCAGGGCCTGAAGTTATCAAACTGCTAAAAGTTCAATTTTGGACTGAATGTAAAGATAAAAGTCAGAATCCTTCACATTCACACCAACTCACTGAAGAATAAAATCTATATATCACATTTCTTTAGACTAAAAATGTTTTTAAATATCAAGGACCTTCAAAGGTGAAGTGAAACATGGATGAGGCTGCATCAACAGCAAAGTAACCGGGGCAACAGTAGAGGTCTGTCTCTGATGAACAGTAACACCTGGTTCAACCTTTATTAATGAACCAGTGTCAGTTTAGCTGCTGATAAACTGCTACACTTAGTATACTATACTTTAGCATCAGCAGCTAATGTTAGCGCAGCGTGTCAGTGATGAGGAGCAGGTCAGGGGTCAGAGGTCAGAAGTCAGACCAGCACATGAACTCTGTGTGTTCAGTCCTGGTGGAAGTTGTGTGTTGAGAAAACAATCAGCTGTGGTTTTCTAAGAGCAGAGGAACAGGGTCACCAGAGGGTGTTACATCACCTGAAACCCTGAAACAACACACACACACACACACACACACACACACCACACACCAACACACACACACACACAACACACACCACCACAACACACACACACACACACACAACCTTAATTACCAGTCCTGAAGAGACCGGGTCATCCACTACACACAACACACACACACACACACAACACGCACACAACACACACACAACACACGCACACACACACACACAACACACAACACACACACACACAACCCTCTATTACAGTCCTGAGGAGACCGGGTCATCCACTACACACAACACACAACACACACACATACATACACACACATGACGTACAGTGTGTTGTGATGTCGACGTGTTTGTCACCTGTATCATTTTTAAACGACTGAAACATACCTGGTTAATTTAGCTTTTACTTACAGTTGTTTATGTTTCTATTATTTTTTCTCTTGATTTCCATGTTTTCTCTCCCGTTCTTTTATATTTGTCAAATTATTATAATAATAATTATTATTATTATTAATATCATTATACATCCTCTAGATATATATAAATATGTTTAGAACATATATGAAATACTCATTGTAAAATTTGTGTATGAACATATATTAAAAATATTCATATGATGAATTTTTATATGGAATAAGATGTGACCATATATGTTAATGATATTTAGTTTATTAAAACAACATACATATGAATCTGTATATATATTTATATACTTATGTTTTACTAGACATGTCTCACACTCCGGGGAAGTGTCTCAGACTCATGGACTCTTTATTATAATAACATTAACAGGCTTTGGGATGGATATGTATTTATATAACAATACAATCATACATACATAAACATATATATTTATATGGGCTGGATGTATACAGTCTGTCAATATATGAAATTGTTACAATTTCTAAAAGGTTTCATATATATTTTTACATGTGTGTTTATCTCATATGTACATATGTTACATTAGTGTGTATGTTTGAGATGTTTATTCCTCTGAGTCCCAAAAACAAACACTGAGTTCTCCTGTTTGAATAACGCTCGACCAGCTGTTCCATCATTATTATTATTATTATTCTAATGACTTTAATATGACAGTGTTTAAAGGTTCATGTGATCAGCAGGAACCAATGGGCTGAGAGGAAGTGACGGACACACACAGAGTGACACAGGCCGAATCCTCCAACCTCCACAACCTGGTCCATCAGATCTGCTGAGACCTGCACGACCAAGACCAGGACCAGGACCAGGTACTGGACCTGGACCAAGATCAGGACCAGGACCAGGACCAGGACCAGGACCAGCACCAGGACCAGGACCTGGACCAGACCACATCACACATGTTCCTGAAGACACACACATGAACACACCACCCGCTCTCACACTGAATGATCTCCCCTCTCCACCTTGTACCTGAGATCTGCTGCTGCCATGTTGGACTCCCATCAATCCCAGCAGCCCCCTCCTCCACAGGGCAGTCCTCCTCCTCCTCCTCCTCCCCCTCCTCCTCCTCCTCTGCTTCAGGCTCCTGTGTTTCAGTTTATCGGCTTCTTTCCTCCATGTAGAAGTATGTGTGTGTGTGTGTGTGTGTGTGTGTGTGTGTGTGTGTGTGTGTGTGTGTGCTCTACTGGAAGGCCAGCAGGAACATGAGCACCACGTTGATGATGATGAGCAGCATCATGATGAAGAACACCACCACCTTCTGGGTCTCTGGGGGGAGGTTGCAGCGCAGCATGGTGTTCAACAGTCCCATCCTCTGCCTGCTCCACCTCCCCGAGCCGCTGCCGCGAGCCATCAGTCCCCTGGCCTCCTCCTCTTCCTCCTCCTCAGCACCGCCGCCCCTCCCCCGTCGCCTTTCCCTCAGCGCCGAGCCCCCGCACCACACGGCGTCGCCTCGTCCCCCCGCCGCTCTGCGATCCCCGTCTCCGTCCTCCGGCGCTGCTCCCGTCCTCCGCTCGGCTCTGGCGCTCGCCTCCTCTGCTTCTCCTGCCACTTTGGCGATGCCCCGCGTCGCCCCGGCCTGCCCGTGGAGGCTGGGAGCGATGTGTGTCAGCGTGTGTGGATCTGTGCTCTGTGAAGCTGTGCTACGTGCCGAGCACCCCCCCCCCTCCTCCTTTACTCCCTTTCTCCTCTTTGAGGAACAGGCACCTCCCCTCTCTCCTTCTCCTTTCTGTCTCCCTCCGATCCGTCTCCTCTTCTCTCTCTCTCTCGGTCAGGATGTCAGGATGAACGACGGAGGACGAGATGCTGCATCTCTCCGGTTCATGCCTCCTCGTCTCTTCCTTCTTTTCTCCCTCCGTCCTCCTGCTCTCCAGCTGTTGTTCTCTCTCTCTCTACATATGCTCAGACGTCTCTACCTCTGAAAACAGGCCATTTGTTCTGCCCCTGGCGTCTTTCTCCTCTCCTCTTCTCTCCCTCCGTCTCTGCCCACCTTCTCTCTCTCTGTTAAAATGGAGCCGGGTGTTCTGCCTCATCCATCCATCCACCAGGATCACCCTCTTTTCTTTTTTTCCCTTCCTTCTCTTCTTTCCTTTTTTGTGTGCCCACCCTTGCATAGCCGGTAGCCAATCAGGATGTGGAATGTGTCAGCGTATCCTGGATACCGGAGTAGCTGAGGCAGGGCCATAGCAACCTCTGGGAGGGTGAGAAGAGGGGGGGTGGGGTGGGATGAGAGGGACAGAGGGAGGGAGGGGTACGATGGAGGCCATGCAGAATAATGGATGGATCTCAAGGGAAATATTGTGTGTGTGTGTGTGTGTGTGTGTGTGTGTGTGTGTGTGTGTGTGTGTGTGTGTGTCAGGTCTTTTGCTGCAGTCACATACGTTGACATTGATCTACAGATTGATGATTTTTGATGTTAGAACCAAAGAAAAGAAATGAATCACTTTGTTCTAATGAACGAATGAGCTGACGATGGAAATCTGGAATAATTTAATTCAGTAATTTCTTGTATCAGCTGATCGTTGTAGTTTTTATAAACGTTACTCAAATAGGAGGAAGTGCAGGTGTTGGAGACTATTTTCAGTGGCGGATGAATACAGATCCAATATGCAGTGAGTATTTCAATGGAATTCAATCCAAATGTATTTATAGAGCATATTTAAAATATAATATATAAAATATAAACAGACAACGCAAACAGGCTGGTTGTAGTGCAGGGGATTAACAGGTCTGTTTTAAAAACAAACTGTAGAACCTTAAAATCGATTCTAAAACGAGCCAAGAGCCAATGAGAGGCCAGGAGAGAGGTCATGTGATCTCTCCCCCTGGAGCCAGGCAGGACCAGAGGGATGTAAAAGCTTAAAGAATCAGGACTGGGGTATTTACCGACTGATTTCATGTTGAAGAAGAAAACATGAAAATGTCTTCAGCTTGTGTTAAACACAGACCTGGTTCCAGCCATCGAACCAAAAACACATTCAACAAACCAGAGACTTCAGGACCAGGGAACAGGAAGTGATGTCATGTGACTGATGTCCAGGTTTTAGAATCATTCCTGCAGAACTCTATTAAGTCGTATATAAAGCTGTACTTATATAAAAATGTATTTGGTTCTAAAGCGTCTATCATAAAACAGTTTTCACACCTGTAATTAAAAACATGCAGAAGAAGTCACAGTGCTTCTTTCAGCTTTCAGCTGTTTCTGTTGACATTCAGCGCTGCAGGGGCGGAGCCACTGTGAAGCCTGGCAGACAAAACCCAGGGCTAAACTGTGCAGAGGAAAACGACCTACTGCCTGAGAAGCTCTTCGCTGTGAGATCATCATCATCATCTCCTCTGTGGTCTTGTGTTGTGAAGGACGGTCGGAGAGGAGACACTGTGTGTGGACTCATGATGAGTCACTGACTAATGGCTCTACAGGATTTCATGCATGTGAAGACGCTGCTTCCCATCGTGACCCGACCTGAGGAGGTCAGTGAGCCACTGATTTCCCAGGTCGCACCTCTCCACAGACCTGAACTCAATGTGCAGGTGGAATCACCACAACAAACAAAAACAAGCTCCGCCCCTTCATCTCCACACGACACCACAGATGAAACAACAGAAAAATAAAAACCTGAGGAACATTTTCTAATTGTTTATGTCCAACCAACAAAAGCCCAAAGATACTGAGTTTACAGTGATATAATGAAGAGAGAGGTCTTTACATCAGAGCAGCTAGAACCTGAAAACACATTCAGCTCACACCTGTACACCTGTACACCTGTACACCTGTATGAGTGTCAGCAACGGAGCAGCAGGGACAGAAACCACTCATCACCTCTGTCTCCACATCACAGACTCCATCCTCCCACAGGATGGCAGCAAAGGGCCGACTCTGTCTGACACCCAGAGAAGAAGAAAACTGTTGCCTGGATATCTGTTTTGATTGGCTGTCATTCTTCACTATCGGCCAATCAGAGTGAACGCTGCAGAGTGAGGAGGAGAAGCAGAAGAAGATAAGTCTACCTGAAGGGTTTCATGTCTGAGCGCAGCGACAGGTCGTTACCTGCTTCATGAGTCGAGTCTGGAAGGTTCAACATCACCCAGCTGCAGCTGCATGTATCAGTGCGGATCAGTGTATCACTGTGAGTGCACTTATCAAGTATCTCCTCCACCGAGAGGTGCATTAGCAGAATCCAGAGCAGGTATCCATGACAACCAAATAATGCAGCAACCTCAGAGCTGGTTTTTACGTCCTCTCAGCCAGAAGGCAACGAGAGCCATTTTCAGTCTCTGCTGTTTCTCTCTCTCTCTCTCTCTCTCTCACACACACACACACACACACACACACACACACACACACACACACACACACACACACACACACACACACACACACACAGAGTGATGTTTAGGGACAGGCAGGTTTATGTGAAAGTCTTTTTAATAATGGACAACAGTGGTGTGGAGCTTTTCCCTCCCAGCTGAGGAGAGGAGAACCTTCCCTCAGTAACTCTGCTCTGACTCCATGTTGTTTGTTTCATCGTAGTTTTCTGTGATTTATCACATTGAGTCTGGAGAGATCAGACATCTGCTCTACTGTCATCACTGCTGCTTTACCAAGACATCTCCACCTAAACCAGGTGGAGATGGGGGGGTCGTGGATGATCAGGGTTTTAACATGACCCATTTTAAAGCCTCCAGTATTTAACACTAGAATCACTGTCTCCACCAACAGGCACCTTACAGGAAACATGGTGTTGAATAATGACCAGGAGAACATTATGACGTCACAGTGAAGTTGACCTTTGACCTTTTGGATATAAAATGTGATGGACATTTGAGTTAAATTGTGTCATGATTAGCAAATTAATTTGAGTTATGGAAAAAAACGTGTTTTGTGAGGTCACACTGACCCTGACCTTTGACCTTCAAATTCTAATCAGTTCATCCTTGAGTCCAAATTAACATTTGTCCCAAATCTGAAGAAATTCCCTCAAGTTACTGAGATATCACATTCACAACATCAAGACGGACGAGCTGATAACATGATGTCATTTAATGTGGCGCCCCCCAGTGGTAGAATCAAAAACATCACACACACTCACACCAGCAGAAGAGGAGCAGCTGCTCTACTCTCTCTGCGCCGGTCAGGAGCTTCTGACCACAGACCTGCTGAACTCAGGTGAACTCAGGTGAATATGACGTCACCCAGGTGAACCCAGGTGAACCCAGGTGAACCCTGCTCACCTGACCTTAGAGACCACTCCTCCACATCACCTACCTCATTGATGGCTAGCTGCTCCCCCCCCCCTCCTCCTGGGTGTCCAAACCGATGTCCAGAGCTGCGAAACTCTTCATACAGCAGATCCTCTTCACTTCCCAGCTCGTCTCCAAGCCCCGCCTTCTCTGACGCCCCGTCAGGAATAACCACGGCTGGGAGGGAGAGGGAGGTAGAGGAGAGACAAAGACAAGAGACAATATGATAAATAATGTGTTGACTTTATTAATTGTTCAGCCTGAAACTGTGTCATAAACTGATATTTTTCACCACAGGAAACACGATCAGGTTGGGTTCAATGACCTACACACACACACACACGCACACACACATAAATACAAGAATTCACTGCAGAAGAAGAAAAAGTCTGTCTGAGTTTGTTTGTCCCAGCAGCAGTAGAGACAGACAGGTCTCCTGTCAGGTGACAGACAGACAGGTCTCCTGTCAGGACACAGACAGGTCTCCTGTCAGGTGACAGACAGACAGGTCTCCTGTCAGGACACAGACAGACAGGTCTCCTGTCAGGTGACAGACAGATATCGTGCCAGTACACAGACAGACAGGTCTCCTGTCAGGACACAGACAGACAGGTCTCCTATCAGGTGACAGACAGGTCTCGTGTCAGGACACAGACAGACAGGTCTCCTGTCAGGTGACAGACAGACAGGTCTCCTGTCAGGACACAGACAGACAGGTCTCATGTCAGGACACAGACAGACAGGTCTCCTGTCAGGTGACAGACAGGTCTCCTGTCAGGACACAGAGAAATAGTCTCCAGTTTGATGTGAAATAAAACAATATTCTCAGATGATGAATCAGTTCTAACCACATGATGATAAACTGTCAATGAAAATCAGTTCTTCATTTTAAAGTAAATATATAAAATTTCTGCTTTTCCCCATTGACTCCATCACTGTCCAATGAATTTTTTAAACAGTATTATAAATCAAAATCAGTAAATTGATTATTAAAATGATTGGCAGCTGAAGCATCAGTAAACAGAGAGGACACTGAGTCAGAAGAATCAGCCTCTCCATGAACCCGTGGTGCTCAGGAGAAAAGTGTGTCACTGCTGTTACTTACAGTGACAGAGCAGCTGAGCTCGGGGGGGGGGGGGCAGACACCCCAGTGGCTGAATGTTACTGTGCCAAAAAACAACAGAGCACAGAAACATCAAACACAGACTGACATCATGTGACAGCTCGTGTGAAGCTGGACAGGCCTTTAACTTCCTCATGTGTGAAACAGACAACAACCATGAGTGTCATCAACGAGGCCCCAACTTTATTTTCCTCTTCAAATTATCACCACGTTACAAAGCTCTACTCCAACATTTGTTCATATACGAGAAAACATTTTAGATTTTTCATTATTGTGACTTTTTGTAATAAAACATCTGAACACTCAGCTGTTCTTCCTCAGCTCGTCTTTGAGCAGAAAACATCAGAAGGAGCGTCTGAGAGTCGAGTGACGAGCGACTTCAAACATCATTGGAAACCGATAATGTTCATTAGCGCTGCACAACTAATGAAAATATAATCTAAATCTCAATATGGCCATGTGCAATACTCAAATCACAGCAGCTGTAGTTTTTTATATGAAGGTAAAATGTGTCTAATTGTTGTTCATTGTTAGCATTAGCATTGTTAGCACCATCAGTGTTGTGAAGCTGCAGAGACGCTCTGACCTACAGATCATGTTCTCCAGACGCAGAGGAACATGATCCAACAACAATCACATCTTCATCATTTCATATTTTTCTCAGTGAAAATGAAAATTATCATTCACACTGAAATCACAATATCTGTCCAAATATTCTCAATATGATTGTTTTGCATATTGTGCAGCTCTAATATTCATTAATTATGTTTTAGTTTGTAGTTCAGGTTCAATCTCAACTGTCGTCTAGATGCAAATATATTTAACAAACTGATATAATATCATTGTTTCATACATGAGCATCACTTTATAAATACCTAGGTTTCATACATGCATTTAGTACAGGTAACCATGACGACACTCTCTGAGCAGGCCCCTCCCTGCAGGAGCCTGATAGGTGGAGTCTGGTCATCAGGGAGATTCAGCTCACCTGGTGTGGCTGCAGCCAGTCTCTTTCTGTCTCTCTTTCTGTCTCTCTCCCTCTCTCTCTGTCTGTCTGTCTCCCTCTCTCTCTCTGTCTGTCTCCCTCTCTCTCTCTTTCTGTCTCTCTCTGTCTCTGTCTCTCTCTGCCTCTCTCTCTGCCTCTCTTTCTGTCTCTCTTTCTGTCTCTCTGTCTGTCTCCCTTTCTCTCTCTCTCTGTCTGTCTGTCTCCCTCTCTCTCTCTGTCTCTCTCTTTCTCCCTCTCTCTCTCTCTTTCTCTCTCTGTCTCTCTCTCTCTGTCTCTCTCTCTCTCTGTCTCTCTCTCTCTCTCTGTCTGTCTCCCTCTCTCTCTCTCTTTCTGTCTCTCTTTCTCTCTCTCTCTGTCTCTGTCTCTCTCTGCCTCTCTCTCTGCCTCTCTTTCTGTCTCTCTTTCTCTCTCTCTGTCTCTCTCTGCCTCTCTTTCTGTCTCTCTTTCTGTCTCTCTCTGTCTGTCTCCCTCTCTCTCTCTGTCTGTCTCCCTCCCTCTCTCTCTCTCTTTCTGTCTCTCTTTCTGTCTCTCTCTGCCTCTCTTTCTGTCTCTCTTGCTGTCTCTCTTTCTCTCTCTCTCTGTCTGTCTCCCTTTCTCTCTCTCTCTCTCTGTCTGTCTCCCTCTCTCTCTCTTTCTCTCTCTCTCTCTCTGTCTCTCTCTCTCTGTCTCTCTCTCTCTGTCTGTCTCTCCCTCATTATTTTCAGATTATTTTCAGATAGGTTTTTGAGTCCTAACTCGTGTTGGTCTTCCCTCCTCTGTCCAGCCTGGAGCCAGGACATGATAGTCAAGTTGTTATTATTATTAAACGTGGTTCAATAGTTTTGTCGACATTAGAACTGGTGTGTGTGTGTTGATCCAGTGACAATGATCACTCTCACTCCTGCTGTACTGAGCTGCTGCAGACGAAGCTCAACTTCCTTCAGGGATTATATTACAGACATTTACAGTCTTTCACTGAACTGTGAGCAGCCGCCTCACGGCTCCCTGTCAATGACTGGTAAGTCGTAACCATGGAGATCTTTCCCATCACCGCCTTCCTACATGAACAAACATCATCCATGGCAGCACAACATACCAGGGCGCACAATGGGCACATCAACACACAGGTCTGTTGTTCCTGACAGTCAGAAGAATCAGTCTAATTTTAGACTCTGATTTAAGTTTCCCACATCAGCAAATAACCAGGACAGCTTTCTTCTGCCTGAGGCTGTTTTTAACTCAACAAGATGCTGAGAAGGAGATTAGAAACTGTGACGCTGTTTTCACTTCTGAAAAAGTCAAGTGAGAAACTTCAGATAAATCAGAATCTGCTGCTGGACATTTGACAAAAACAAAGAGGAGAGCAGATTCCTCCTCCCCACACGCCACTGAGTCCCTGTTTCTTTAAAACTCTCAGAGGTCCGGCTCTTACATCACTGACAGTCTGTTGTTTCATGTCCCTCCACCAGCCCTGACATCGTCTACAGCAGGGCCTCCAATATACACCTGGGGAGGGAGCTCCACCCACTGTGCACCTAAACTGTGGAACAACCAACAGGAAATATTAAGGGGTGGAGTCAGTCGAGATTTTTAAATTATGACTGACATACGTACCTGAACATACCAGCGTTGCTTTTAATTAGCACTTAGAGTTGTTTTAATTTTATTTCTGATTTCTGATTTAATTTTTTCTCTTGAATATTTTCCCTGTTTTAACTCCATTTCTTTTATATGGGTCAAAGCACTTTGAGCTGTATCCTGTGTATGAAAAGTGCTGTATAAATAAAGTTTATTATTATTATTATTTTTCTTTGTGATAACAGGTTTGAAATGAAACATCCTCCGTCTGTGTGAAGCAGCTTTCTTCCTCCTCTCTTTCCAGGAGCGTTTGAACTCACTGGCTACCTGGCTGAGCAGCTAAAAATACACTTGCTGTCACACCTCATCATAGGCGTCACCCTCAGCTGCCTCACCGACAGCTGTTGCCACGGAGGATGTATCCGTGGCGACAAATCACCGTGGAGACAGAGAGAGTAGTGAAGGAACACATAGAGCCCCCGGGCGACGAGGAAGAGATGCACTTAGAAACAGGACTCAGCACAACGCACAATGAGATGCAGTAGCTTGGGGGGAGGAGGGCAGGGGGAGGGGTGTATTGAAAGTGAGTGGGGGCTTTTTTCTCTGCTCAGTAGGCACAGACAGTAAACATCAGTCAACATCTGGCACAGAGAGCTAAATACACACAGCAGCTTCTTACAGATCATGTAACATCGCCATCACTGGAACCAGCGAAGTGGCGGGGGCCGCCCTCAGGGGGGCAGTGTAGGACACTGTGACTGGTCGTGTGATGCTGTACAAAGATGGAGGAGCTCCAGGGACCGACTGGCCTTTACTCAGACGCTGCAGTCTGGATTACAGAGGAGGGACGTCAACCAGCAGATCCACATGATGAACTGGGGGGGTCATCCAGACCTCAGCTCAGCTTGAGTCTCATATATAGCACCCACAGACATTCAGTCTGTCCACAGAGGCTCCTGAAGGCAGCACAGTGAAACAGTGAGGGGGCGGGGCCAAACATTTACTGTTGTTCATTGCTGCCTCCAACTTCCTGTTCATTAGAATACAACACACACACACACACACACACCACTTATCATCTAGAATGCATGTGTGTACTGTATACATACACTACAGACGGCTGAATATCCTCTCAGAGCCAAACACATACATCACTGTGTGAAGGCTTTAGTCAGTGAGAGTGAAGATATTCTCAAAGATGATGTGATGAATCGTTTGTATTGATCACTTTTCTTCAGTGTGGAACTAAAATACATAAAGCTGTTGCACAGGATGTCCAGCACGGAACATTCAAAATAAAAGTTCACAACAAAATCCACAGTCTCAACAGTTTGGATGCAAACTTCATCAAGCTGGTGCAATAAAGCCCAGTGTAAATTACAGTCATTAACTGTTGATATAGTTTTCATGCAGTCGCTGACGGCTCAGGGTCATTCTCACTCTGGACCACTGCTGAATAAACACACTTTAAAAACCAGGAAGTGAACAAAC